ACACACACACACACACACACAACCACAGACGCACACACCCACACACATACACACACACATACACAGACATACACAGATGCACACAATGATTCAACTGCATTTTAAACTACTAGTTATATAAAAACTTTTACAACTTGTCGTCAAACGACACCCGAATCTGTCACGGGATTCAGCGCTCAGCACCTAAGTGTTTACTAAAAATGATTGAAAATCCAAGACAATACCTGGTCAAAAAGTGTATGTGAGTAAAAGCGTGCAGCCCTCACTACGGCTTAACTTTGATGTCAAGTAATTGCCAAAAAAGTGTGGCCCATTGGGTCACAATTGGTCTGCCCGAAGACAGCTTAAGACCCAAATATTGTGGAGTTCGAGTGCTGGTTAAAAATTTATGCTTATCATTCATGCAATAAACTCAAGCCATCTTTCAAAAAGAATGTTTTACAACATGAAGGTTGTCTCGTTCATATGTTTTTGTATCTCTGTTTTCTCACTTTGATTTGAGAATTTCCTTTTATACAATTCTTTCGTCGTACTCACCGGTACAGCAGCCCTCTTCCTCTCACTTAATTAATCAGGACTGGTATTGTCCACGTAGACTTGTTCACAAGGAAGGACCTATGTACTTCAACTTAGATTAGGGAAAATGTGGATATTTTGAATGCTGCACCCTGAAATTACAAAAAAGGTGTGCAGGGATTTCAACTAACTCTGTTTGTTATTGTTCTTTCCAGCGCAAGGCAAACGTATCTGCTGACTTCTCCCAGAACAAAGTCGCCGCAGTCTACGATCAAGGAAGGAGAGTGTCAGATCTGGCCACCGTAAGCACAAGAAATCCTTCTACGTTTTGTTCTTGCTTCTATTAAGACAGCTCGTTAAGCTTTTAACTCATTAATACCGGGGAAAAGTCACCCGCTTCAACGCCATAGTTTGCTGGACACGTACGGTAAAATGCTGGGCTTTTTACGATTTCGAACCCCTAGTTCCTTTACAAAGATCAATTTGGGAACACACAAATTCCCCCCCCCCCCACCCCCCACACACAATCTCACAAAGACACACACACACATACACACACACACACACACACACACACACACACATACAGAGAGAGAGAGAGAGAGAAAGAGAGAGAGAGAGAGAGAGAGAGAGAGAGAGAGAGAGAGAGAGAGAGAGAGAGAGAGAGAGAGAGAGAAACCCATACACATTCTCTATCATAAAGAGCCCCCCTTCTTGGTGTCAGCCAGAAAGGAAACGTTTTTGATGTTCATCTTAGTTTATTTTATATTTGACTCATGATCTCTTGTAATCCTGCTCGAAAAATGTTACAGAAATTTCATTCAAGAATTGTTTAAAGCCACATTTATTCAACACTTTTTTCTACCAGCAAACGTTGTATGTTAAATGTTTGTGGGCTAGTGAGGAAATAGGAGAACGAAAAGCAGTTTGTGAGGTACATCTAAAATAGATGTTGGACACGCCTAACAAGTCCATTATTTATTGGTGTTATTGGTCAAACAATACAAACATCGCAGTAAGTAGTCACATTAAGTTTCACATACATTACGTCATTTCAATGATTATTATGTTTTCTTACAGTTGATTCCCCAATATGATATCCTATATGAAAATTAAGGGAAAAGTCAAACGTATATCTTTAGTGCAATTTCAAAAAAGCCTTTTGAAAACTAAGGTATACATTATCAATTATGTGATTATTATACAGAACTACACCTACATGATTGACGCAGCAGGTGCATGCACCAGGCAGCCTCTGCCTGTACTCGGGTTCCTCACAAGATGTCTCCCAGGTAAATTAGAACATTTGTTGACCTATTGCTGTTCGTAAAGAAACAATAAAGTCCTTTTTCTCTCATGTTTCTTTAAGAAACAAAAACACCCAATTGTCTTCTTGCTAATCGTTTGGTAAAAAGGTATTTGCAAATTAAGCTTACATGTCAACTTAGTAGATTGTTCTGTTCCCGGATGCTCGTTTTTAGTCTAAAATCCATTACCCTTAAATCATAACCCCGTTCCCCATGACTCTCCAGAAAAATAAAGCTAAAATGCGCGTGACAAAATTTTACTATAACGTTTTGCCCATGGTAATAAGACCTTAAACCAGACATGGACAACTACTACTACTAATAAAATATTAATTAAAACATCAACAATAACAGCAGTATTAACAAAACTGTTCCTCTTGACAATTAATATATTAAGTAGTTTTGGCACAGGTGGCGTCATTACATCTAACATTTTGTATCAAGTATGCTATAGTGTCAGTTTTCGTGTCACTTTTAAGAGCTTTGGTACTTAAAACAACTTTACTCAATGTTCTACTGTTTGGCCATTATGATTTCGCATCGCTTGATCCAAACAGCGAGTAAGACAGCCCATGGTTGCCTTAACCCAAAGTTGTTACTAAGATTTTTAAAATACAATCTGTTCCACAGCAAAGGCCGTGTACCTTGGTACCGTCTTTGAGGGTTTCGTCAAAAAAGTCAGCTTGGACGGTTGGTTGATCCCAGTGAACCAGGACACCAATGTGACTCTGTTGACCTTCACTGAGCCTGGACAATCGAACTCTTACTTCGTGCTGAGGAGAGATGACTGTAAGTAGATTGTTGTTGTTGTTATTGTTGTTGTTGTTGTTGTTGTTGTTGTTGTTGTTGTTCTTCTTCTTCTTCTTCTTCTTCTTCTTCTTCTTCTTCTTCTTCTTCTTCTTCTACTTCATCCATGAACATAAATTGTAGTCTTAATATATTCCCGTGTGAATGTATGTGTGTGCGTGTGTGTATGTGTGTGTATGTGTGTGTGTTTGTGTTATTTGCGTTTGTGTATGTGTGTATGTGTGTGTGTGTGTGTTTGTGTGAGTGTATGTGTGTGTGTGTGTGTGTGTGTGTGTGTGTGTGTGTGTTTTATGTGCGCGCGCTCGCGCACTAGAACACACGAAATAAAATACATTTTTAGGAGAAAGGATGTCATTGAACAAAATATGGGTTGAAGTTGAATTAAATATTGTGCATTATATTATTTCCTTTCAGAACGCTCTCTTTTGTATTCGTAGCTTTGAAACTCTGAAGATAGTTTCAAAGTCTTTAACTTGCTGGTCATGGGGAAATCATAATAGCCAATCATATCTTCTCCTCAGCCCCAAGGGGACAGCGAATTACCTTCGTCAGCAACCCTGTTGCTTCCGTCGCTGACTCAAGCGTTTTCAACATCCCTGCAGTGTGCCCAGACAGTCCCGCCGTTTAAGAAGGAATTGCTTAGAGTTTGGATGATGGTTCAATTTGTTAATAAATGTTGATACATAATTGCAATGCGTCCGCTTTGCCATGTGTTGTAATGACTTAAAATAAACTGTGGTTGTTGTTTTTTTTTACATGAAACTGTAAGTATGTACAAAAAAACCATAACGATGTTTAAAAAATATTCTTTCAAGGTTTTTATTCAATATAATTTTCAATATGTAACAGATGTTTAACTATCTATCCATCTATCTATCTATCTATCTATCTATCTATCTATCTATCTATCTATCTATCTATCTGTCTAGCTAGCTAGCTAAAATATTTTTGGCCAATCACACAAAATGACTCAATAGATTTTAATGCCCATTGTTCACGGCTTTTCGTGTAAATGGATGCTAAAATAAAAGGAACATTTTTTAAACAACTTAACCTCGTTAAAAGAAGTCCTTATATGAAATGAAAACGTTTAGACAATCATTTTTTTTAAGTTCTGGTAATTGACTGACGTCGCCAATTTATACAACCATTTGATTTAGCCTGTTTTTTATACTCGTAACCTTGCCGAAGGAGGCCATATGATCCCCATCTTGTTCCACTTTGAGAAAACCTTCGACACAACCTGGAAGTACGATTTTCTTACATACATGCACGCTTTCCGCCCACACCGTCACCTTTCTTCCTTCACTTGCAATTTTTTAAAGAACTGTTTCTTCCAGGTTCCACCAATGGGAGCAAGGACGTGTTCTCCAGGGAATCGTCTTTTCTCCTCTTCTCTTCGTAATTAAAATAACTTCCATAATCCACACCCTCCAAAACCACATAGACAGCTCGTTATAATTATGTTTCCAATCTAAAAGTCCTCTACCAAGATCTATGGAAAGACAGCTACTGACACAGCTTTTTAAACTTAAAAATTAGGCATTTGAGAACGGTTTCAAGATTTCCCCGTCAAAAATGTTGAGGCAGCGTGGTGGAATCAGACTCTCGTCAATTTGTGGGCATGTAGAGTTATTGGTATCATCTTAAAGCTTGTTCACTTGTCTTTATTTGGATAAAAACATATCCATTTATCTTGAATACAAATCGAGATATTTGCGAAAGAAAGAGGTGGGGCCACTTGTTTTCAGAGGTAAAATTAGTGAGAAAATGGCCACCAAAGATTAGTTATTTTTAGCTTAAGAGTCCGTGGTAACTGAAAATTTACATTTTTTGTGCCTTTATTCAACGTTTTCAGAAAAATCTACACATAAATGAGTTGTTTAATGGGCATGAAAGGTGTTGAGCCAAAAAACAAAAAGTAGATTAAAATTCACAAACCTGCGGAAAAATGCAAGTTTCTTCACTTTAATTATTTTGACGAGAGCCTGATTCCACCATGCTGCCTCACGTTTACAGTGTGCAGTGCACATCTGCTGATCCGGCCGACATGTACTGCAACCGGATTTGATATTATACAGGGGAAAAGATTCCAGTCCCGGACCGGGATGTCTCATAGTCTAGAGGCAACTCATTCAACAGGTCCTGGGTTCGAACCCGAAGAGCGACATAAACTTTTCTTCTCTAGAATGTTCTCCTTTCACACCCTTTCCTGCTCTCTAATAATGTTCTGTCGTCTGCTTTCTTCTCTACTTTCGTCCACTATTCCATCGTCTCCCCTGCCTCTTAAAAACCTAATAGTGTTGATAGGGGCGTTAAACCTATACCATTTCACTATTTCATCTCATTTCCTTTGCCTCCTCCTCTGGGCTTCTGACTCTTTCTGCAGCCTTTTTACTGCTAGTCCTTGGTTCCTTCTTACTGTTGATTTTCAGCCACATCCCAGATCTTTTGGTAGGAAAGATCTACACATAGCTTTCACTGATAAGGGCTAAAACTCTCGGAGGTCTCAAGTGCAAGTTGTGCACGTTAAAGGTCCCTTGGTGGTCCAAAATCGATAAGAGAAGACTTCGGCCGCCACTCGGGGAAAATTAAAAATTTCTTACCAACAGAAAATGTTTCATGTGTCCCGCGCGCTCATGTGACTTTATACAGTTGCCAGCGCCGTAAATCACTTACCAAATAAACAAACAAACAACCCAGGTTAGTTTCAACGAAACGTACGTTCTAAATTCATGTGAAAGGCCTTCATTTCAGATGCCAAATAGGTTTAAACGTTCTAAAAGATTTATTACATCTGGATAGGGCTTTGTCCGAACCTGGCTTGACTACGCTGTCACGTCTATGGATCGGCAAAGCCTCCGAAACTAGAAATGCTAGACCCTGTACAAAACCAGGAACTCTGCCTCGCCCTGGGCGCTTATCTGAAATCTCCAGTTGGGAGCCCTAAGGCCGAGGCCAAAACATCATCCTCAGTACTCAGACGATCACATTTTCCTTACAATGCGCAATTAAACAGTTCAACACAAGAAAACCTAGCACACAACTGCATTTTAAAATAGGCCCAGACACAATAAACAAGTTTTAAAACATGGACACGTTCCTTTCAGAGTCCCCGAGAATCTCAAAAGCGCAGGCTGAACCAAAAAGACACCCAACAATATGTCTTTCTCCAGACCTCTCTTCGTGACACCTTCCCAAGACATGACTATAACCGGACCTCTCCCAACAATAAATATTGCCCAAAGACAAATTCAAAGCTGCATATAAAACTCTCATAAAAATACTCCGATGCAGAGCAAAATAATCTTTACAGATAGCTCCAAATCGAAATCACCTGTAAGCGCATCCGCACTGTCTATAAACAATACTCACATCAGGAGGTGTCTGAAGCCTTCATTTTTTTCTGTGAAGGCCACGGCTATAATTGACATGGGGTTGGACTCCGTAGGCAATTCTCCTAAAACAACCTCTGTCATTTTGTCGGATTGCTTATCTTGCCTCACCAAGAAGAAGAAGAAGAAGAAGAAGAAGAAGAAGAAGAAGAAGAAGAAGAAGAAAAATAGTATATTCTTCATAAAAATGGTATAATGATTGCCCTTTGAAAGTGATGATGATGATAATGACAAATGTACAAATTACTCACACCAAATACATCATTCAATCCCAGGCAATATTTAATTACAGACCTTTAGAGTTATATTGGTACGTACTCGTAAAAGCAATGTACTACTTCGATGTTAATTCTGACACCAGCCTTATCTCACATGGTTGCAAACTGTTTTATATCTTTCTTTCTTTGTTTTTAGATCTTCCAATGCGTGATCTTATAATTTGATGGGTCGTTTATAATGCTGTTTATCTTTTTTATACTTGTTAGGAGCTGGCTACCCTTGACGACCATTTCCTATGTCTGTTGCCCAAGATCAAATCTAAGTACACATATAAGTTAGGCATAGTAAAATCTTTTGATACGCCATTTATTTTGGCATAGCAACAGTGGTTGCTATGGAAACGGCCGCCATCTTGAAAATAAACAATGAATTTCAAATCCCTAAGGCTTTCTTATTTCCCCACCAAATTTGACCAAATGTGTTGAGAGTATACCTGAACCAGACCATATCAGAGTAACAGCAAGCTTATTTCAATAAGTGCAAAATATAAAAATATATGATAATTTTCCCAAAGTATAAAAAACTTTTTTTTTAAATTTAGGTTGCGTAATCGCTTGCCAATGGAAAACTGTTATTGTTTTCGTAAATATCTCTCTGTTACATTAATGGCAGCCTTGCCATCTATGTCTCCTGAAAGTGTCATCTCAAAATGATGAAATCTAAGGACGGAGTAGGGAAAAAACGGCAAAAAAATTCATTTTGCGAAAACTGACTATTATTGTGAAAATTCACTATATTAATCCGTCATCATGTTTTCAAAGGCAATTTACGTGGAGAATAAACACTTTCTCAAATGTATCCATGCTATTTTTGGACAAAAAACTGGTTGATCTTCAAAAATCAGCCACAGAAAATTTGCATAGCCTGACCCAAAATCTGCCAAATCAAGGGTCGCTCATCCCCTTAAACATTTCATCAATTGTAGTAAAATGATTTTCAGACAACCACAGAGAAACTGAAGGCACCATATCACACACAATGGAAAGACGAAGGGAAGTTGGTGTCTCAAGAGGGTGGGGGAGGTACGGCAACCTGAGTGAAAAAGCAAGAAGAATATCCAACAAGCTGATAACTGGCACGATCAGCAAGCAGACCCTTTCATGGACCCTGGAGAGGTGGGAGGATCAGCTATGGAATTGTGCCGCCTGTAACGATGCCTATTCAACAATTCAGTAAGTATGATCGGTGGTGGCTATGTAAGCTTGTATGGATATGGGCTCCAGCAGGTTTTTCCGTGTACCATGGTATCAATCGACGTGGGAGCGACCTGTCAAGCATGTTCAATAACCTAGCTTTTGATGGAAAAAAATACTCTTTAATCTTAAAAAAGTTCTCGAGATATTTGGGATTGGACAAGATGTGGGTCGTCTTGACGAGCGATGAATTTACCACGACGTCACTCATGTAAGCCTAGTTCTAAAGAAACGAAACAATCCCTGAATATGACGATACTCCTTCAAATATTATCGTAAACTGTTTCAAACAGGTGTGTACATATGTTTTGAATAGAGAGGGGTACAACGTCTCAGAAAAAAAGACCAAGACGTTGAAAATGTTACCCTTTGCTCGGGAATCGAACCTAGGTATCTTGCATGCGACAATGCAGTGCCAAACCGCTATACCATAAACGTAAAGATAGATAGATATATAGATAAATAGATAGATAGATAGATAGATAGATAGATAGATAGATAGATAGATAGATAGTATTGTAAAAACATTGAAGTATACTTCTTATATATTGTTATGGTTCCTGGAATATTTGTAGTTTCAGGTTTTAAAAAACAACAGCACCCGACGCTCTTGTTGTTTTTGCAAAATGCATCGAAACATTTATTAACATTTAGACAAACAGAAACCAACATATTGAGAAGAATTGTTCTGAGCAATTCCTTCTTAAATGACGGGTTTATCTGGGCAGACGTCGGGAACGTTGAACACAGATGTGTCAGGGATGGAGGCGACAGGGTTGCTGACAAAGATAATTTGCTGTCCTTTTGGAGCTGAGAAGGAGA